AGCTCGAGCCGGAGAGCAGCTTTTATAAAAACATCTAAACAAGTTATTTAACAAATTACATAAACTCAAATTAATACAATTACATTAATAAAAAACAACAACCTCTAAAAACGTGAATAATCGCTTTTATTCGCGTTGTACGGAAGCCCTGACCTGCAAAAAATAAATAAATAAATAAATAAAAAATCAAACTTAAAAGGTATTTTTGGCATGTCATGGAAACTGATTTTAAAAAAATCATTAACAAAAACAATCTGCAGTATTTACCGTCATATTAAGGTATTTCTAAATTAAAAAAATATATATTATTTGTATACATTGAGTGCAGACCCACATTTTTAGATTAATATACTAGAGTGTACTGGAAGAACACTTTCAAAAACAGCAGATATGAAATACTTCAGTTCTTACTGGAACCTCTCAGAGAACACACACGTGTTTTCAAAAATTATTTTTTTAAAAACAATCTCATCTGGGACTATTATCTTACCTTGAGTTTCTCCACCKGAGGGACACCTGTAGATAAATGCACCAGTGAGGACTCGATGACTTCAGCCGCGTCTTGTCCCGAATAATCTTACTCTTAAAAATAAATAATTGCACATGYTTAAACAGTACAGCTTCCATTCTTGTTCGCCAAACGTTAACATGATTTATTAGTTGTTTAAGTTAAGAAAAAGCGACTAAATTTGCACATTTGTTGGGAACGAAAAAGTTGCCCGCGAACTTCCTGTAAGATGCATTCGTGGACCCTCGGAAATTCGAAAACTTCCTGTTACACAATTTGAAGGTCTTTATAAATAAATACAAAACAAACTAWAGTGACTTGAATATTCTTAATGTAATAATTAATTGAGTCTTCCCGACAGGTTAACACGTTTATTTACATTATAAAAATGGAGTATAAAATAATTAACAGTAAAAAATAAGTATTTTAAAGATGTACCATGTTTTCATTGACCATTTCCAATAAACAAAAATTGTTTACATTAACTTATATTTGCTTGAGTTCAAGTCATTCTGCCTTACAACACACCAATATTAAAACAATACAAAAATCAAACAAGCAAATCTACATTTTCACTTTGACAGGGCTGCAAACAAAATCCATTAGGATTTTTGGGAGTCCTTGTTGTTGCAGTTGACTGACAGTATAAAAATTACTTTGCCTAACAAAGATAAGCTCACCCTGTGATGAGGCAAAGATAATTAAACATAAAACAAGTCGAATGAAAACACTATTTCTGACTCAGAGATGAGGACTGAGGCACTTAAATATATGTGTGCCTATTTCAGTGCTCTTTGTGGTCTCCATCCTCCTCCAGCTTCCTGATTTCTGCCTTCAAATGGTTGATATTYTCCCTGCTGGCTTTAAGTTTGTCTTTCAGCTCTGTAATCTCCTGGCTTGTTCTCTTCTTCGCTGCTTCCAGTTTCTCCTTTGTCCTCTGCTCCAGCTCACTGACTGCAGACACAATAAAACAAACTCAAAAGAATGAAGACCAAACCCTGGATTCTGTCCAGGCTGCTGAGTGCAAAAAAAAACAATCTTACAAGAATGCAACAATATAAATCAATGTAAGCATTACTGTTTAAAACAGTGATACATACACTCTGTCTCATGCTTGTACGCGCCAAGAGTGAGTTGTCTTGATGTGGTTAGTAGCTGCTGCATCATAGCTGTGGGATCCTGAAATATCTGAAAATGAAAACAGTGGTTACTGAGATAAACTAAATATTCAAGAAAAAAATGTAAAAAGCACAGACGCAACATGACAAAAAAATAATAGAACCTGTACCATTTCGTCATAAAACTCAGAGACGACCGTTTTCTTCGGCATGGCGCTGGAATCAGACTGGAAAAGCTTCAAGAGATGGTACAGAGTCACCTGAGACACAATAAAAATTAGGACGAGGATCCAAACAGAGAGGTTAGACCAAAAAAAAAGTGATAATACACTTGTTTATTTGAATGTGTGAAATATTTCTGAATGTTTTAATCAATACAAGTAGGGCTGCCACAAACGATTATTTTAATAATCGATTAATCACCGATTATTTATTCAATTAGTCAACTAATCGGATCATGTTAATTGAATATAAAACATGCAGCTTATCACATCAGAAAGCAGCTGCTATTGTATAACCATCGTTAGATTTTAGCTATACGCTAACTAAAAATAAATTGCTGTGGAAGGCAAGTTCTGCTCTGCAGATATTGCACAGGTTTCTCTTTCATTTTCTTAAAATGATCCCACACTTTTGAGCTCTGTTGYYRGGTAGCCATGATACCAGAGCCTGTCTGTATAATGTCTTGTGACGTCCACGGCCTACCCCAGTTACCACTACTGTGCATGTGTGTCAAGGACAGAAAGGCAGACGTGGCAGTGGAAGGTGTCAAAGCAGTTTGGAGAGAAAAACAAGTAAAGAACAAAAAAAAAAAAGATTGATTATTAAATTAGTCATCAATTATTTTAATAATCGATTAGTCGTCGATTAATCATGGCAGCCCTAAATACAAGATAAACCTATTAAAACCTGTCAGGCCTTGTTGTGGCAGAACTCACCGGTCTCTCATTTGGATCAATGAAAAAGATTTTCACAATGATCTCAAACTCTCCCCAGCCCGTCTCTGTAATCTCATACGGAGGTTTTGTTACCACTAGGGGRAAAAAAAWAAAAAATAAAACTTAGAAGTTGACAAACTGATGTTATTTTCTGCATCACATTTCCAGAGTTGAGGTCCTCTCACCTCTCAGGGGATTAACATAGCTTTCATGCAGCTTGAACTGGATCTTCTTCACATAGGCAGACATGTCCTGGGAGAACAAATGAGGTGAGTACACGTCAGAGGAAACTGCACCTCTTGTACTTCCAGCTCGTCTTACCTCATTTCTGTAAGGTTTCACATAAACAGACCACTGATGTGTGTGACCGTCTTCCTCTCGCTTTTTCCCAAAGTAACGGGCAACATTCCCAAACACAATAGGCTTCACTATAGTCACTCCCTGCAATAAAACAGCGCGTTAGTCAAAGAAAGATCACAAATACAAATCATGGAAAAATATATAGAACAAGAAACTGACAAATAAGAGAAAGTATAATTACATAAAAACACCAAGTGCAAATTCATTTACGCCGTAAATTTACCTTAACGCGCCCCCCGGAATCTGGACCAAATTCAGTCATCTTTTTGAACATATTACGCCACAAACACGATCTTATTTTAAAATCTTAAGCGCTATGCATTTGAGTCTACTTGATCCACCGTGTTTTCATCTCTAATGCCATGAAGGCGCCTTAAATCGTGCCTTTCACACACGGCGGAAGGTTTATGCTGCGCAACTAGAACAAGCGCCGGAAGTAAGTACGTATTTATTTGTGCGATGTGAAACTGCCACCGAAGCACAAAGGTTCCGGTCTGACAGACGCCCGGCTACATAATTAATGTTTTCTAATCGAAGACATTAAGCTTATGTATTCAATTAATATCCGACCAAAGTAACATTAGTAAGTTGGACATTTGTTTTGAAACTAGGTGATATTAATTTGGTCGTTAGTGATATTTAGTTTATTTGTTGTCTTTAACAGCAGACATGTGAATATAATTTTAACTTTAATTTAGCAATACTACACACATATACTTTTATTTGAACCCTTTAAAAATGTTATTTCATTTCCACTTAGTAGACAGAGTACTCACTGCTTTTTAAAAATTATTTTCATATCTTTAAACGTTTTTTTAATTAATAAACCAACACTGGGTAGGCTAGGTACCTCAYTTTCAAACAAGAGCTGTAGTTACTTTATATGCGGGTTTTTCAAAATAAAATGGAGATCGTAATAAAAGTATTACTGTTATATATACATTATTTAAAAACGTTTTAAATTTTGAGGGGGGAAATATGAATTTTCAAGTTTCAGGAGTAAATAATTGGTGCTTCTCAATGTAATAAATACATTTTAAAAAGCCTTTAATTGGATCTTTTTAAAACTGACTTTAAATTTAATTACACATCCGTCACATCTGACTCACAATCTAAGTCCCAAATTACACAAAAGCTCAACTTGTCTCCAWATAACTAGAAAGTATTAGAAAACAAAGTAAATGCAAAATCAATTGAAATGTTTTATTACAAATCAAACAAAACAAAAACAGTGTTCACAGACTACATTCCTGTGAAACTCAAGCTCAAAATGCACTAGTGCTCTASAGTGAGCCAATAAAAACTTGGTGTAATTAAACTCAATAAATTCAAGGTTTTCTAACTTTGTTTTAACTGTAGTGTTTAATAAAAATGCTGGTCTTTGCAAATACAAACGTATGCATCAGTTAAAGCTGAATTCWAATTCTAATTCTAAAACGCCCCAACTACATATGCTGGGAAAGTGTCTTCATTACTGCAGTTATCAGTCAGGCTTCTTCTGTCTTCATGTCCCACACACAGACTGACAACACTTACCTTCAGCTGTGGAGAGAAGCTAAAACAGAGCAAATGAACTGGAAATTCACCAAAACCCATCAAACTGGTTCATTTCTTCATTTCTGCTCAGGCCGACTTCAGCAGAACTGATACAGTTTCGTGTAAAAGCACAGCAGAAAAAAAAAAAACAAACAAAACAAAACCAAAACAAGCCAATCATGTGGCCAATTTAGCCAAAAATAAATCAATGTTTTTTTTAATATACAAAACACCATTTGTGAAAAATGCTGCAGAAACACCATCAGGAATTTAAAACTGAGAAATTTAGTTTCTTGGTATCAGTTAACCACAATTTTTACATTAATGCAATTAAAATTGCATTAATTCTTAATGCAATTTTTCAAGTTTTGCACATAAATTTGAGGTGCTCAATGATGTCCGACAGTTAAACACAAAACATTGACATTTAACCCGTAAGCCTCATTTAGGACAGCAGGAGGGTTAAATATGTAGCAATTTGAAGAGTTGTTTATTATTTTTTCATACTTGGAAGTAAAATAGTTCCCCAAACTATAGTTCATACTAGACTGGAGCACTAAATCTGTACATTTCTTGTCCATCTTTATTTACGTCAACTTCATAAACGAGTGGTTTTACATTTCACTTGTTTTGTTCTGGAACAAAGGCAAATCTTTCACTTTGTAATTCAAACAATTTGGTCTTATGAGAGTTGTAAAAATAAAATAAAAAACAGGAGAACTTTCACTATTTTCCAAAACCACTGTGTACGTGAGAAAGAACAAGTCTGAGTAACAAACTGACATTCACAGTCTGACAAATGTGCAACACATTAACACAACTTAAGTGATACAAAGATGTGCTGCATTGAATGTTCAACCTGACATGTTAAAGGGAGTGTGGTTATTTYTGAAGTTAGGTCAAAAAGTTAGAACCTCATCACAGAGTGTAGTAGTAGTGTGATGAGGTGTAGTGTGAAGAAAGGCCAGAAATTATCTAGGCTAGGCTAATGGCTAGCTAAGAGAGATCTTATTGGAAAAGACTGAGACTCAACTCAAAGGGGACAGATCCACTGAGCAGTACCAGGACCGTTACCAGCTGGCTCTATGCTGAGAACATACAGGAGCTTTGTGTTATTAGGGTGATTAAAAAAATGAAACTTAAAGAAAAAAAAAATAAAAGCTCATCTATCTAATGTAATGTTTCCTCCCCACAGTACTATGTTGTTTTAAAGCCTGAAAAATTAAATAAAACTGCACCATCCTTTTTTTTCATACTTGGGGCTAAATGTGAGAGGTACTATCAGAGGAGTATAAAGTACTAAAAAAAAAAAAAACTTTGGTAGGAGTTTCACTGACAAGTACTCAAGACAAACTGCTCAATAATTGAGAAAATAAAAGTACTTTCACACACTAAATGAAGTTCTGAATTTACAAAATGCTTCACATTTACTCAACTTGGTAAATTCAATAATTCATTTTTTTAGAGTGCATGAACAACTTTCATGAGTTCTGGTCATAATGAGGCGTTGCATTTTAAAGTATTATTACGTTTTGAATAAAAAAAGTAAAAGTTACAATAAAAAACTATTACTATGCTTACAAATTRGATAAGTACTGTAACAAAGTAACTTGGCTACAATACACTTCWGCTTTTAATATATGTGACCCATCACATCAAAACAAGGATTAAGTCTAAAAGTGGAATATGGAGAAATAGGCAAATATGTTTTGATTAAAACTTACAAAAATTGCATTTCATCAAAATATAACAAATYAATGCCTTGTTTCATTTGAATGAACTGTGCGAGATACAACCATGTTTTTGAAGCACTTTTCTGAGCAGTAGTGACACCGCCCCCACCTTAAAAAAACCTGATTTTGAGGAAAAAYGCCTTTAAATATTGAGATTTTCCCTGTGAGCAAGAAATGTTTTTGTTTCATTCCAGCTGGGAAATGTCAATATTCAAATACTATTACAGATTTCCTCTTCATAATAGGGGGGAAAAATCATCATAAATATTACATAAAAGTAGGATTCAGACCAAATATTAATGTATTATCGTAACCAAGACAAATTAAGGCATATCTCTGATTCCGTTTATATTACAATGATCCAGGTATCAAAACGTAGCTTTTAAAGTCGGGAATCTGAAAATGGGATTAGGTCATTTTTGACGTAATCCTAATGTCGATATGATGGGTCATATATATATATTTGACCAAATATCATTTAAAAAACAACCAGACTATCTTTAGATTTGTGCTGCACTTTTAAACAACTTGTTTGGTTTATTATTATTTTTAAATCAAACAGTTTGGTTCCAAATCAGCCATAATAGAAAGAAGCTGGAATGCTTGTTTTATCCTGTTCATGGCACTGCCGTAAAGCAAACAGATGGGTTAATATATGCAACAGTAATAGTGTTCACAACAATAAAACACACTACAAACAGGTGCTGGTCAGTTTTAGAGACGATTCAGTGAAATTACACATAAATTAATGGTCGTATAAACAGCAGCATGGTTTTGGTTGACAATATTTGGTTTAAAAAGGACAGAAAATGTCTTATGGACATATTCTAAATTGATCAGAATCCACCGATGCACACATCTACCTGTACAAACGTGCGTTTGTCTAATTTGTCTTACCTTGAAAGAGTTTTTCTCCCATTTGGCCAAAAATAAAACAAAAGGACAGCAAGCCAAAAAGCATCATCTAAAAATAGACAATTCAATGTAAAAAACATTTAAAATCCCAGAAAAATACATTTAATATAAATGAACCAAACTTGAAGAGCAATTCACCAGATGAGTGTACCTCAGTAAACATTTTTATTACAACACCATCTAGTTTTTAATCAAAAAAGCAGACACATTTACAAACATACTAAACCGGAAAGAATAAATGAGAATGAGAGGGAGAGGAGGGAAGAAAACATCAAAACACGTTCCCTATAAAAACTTCTCTAAACTCAGTTTACACAATACAAGCCAAAGAAAAATAAAAAGTAATATGTGCGTCTTCTATCAGAGGATCACATGGCTGTTTTATTGTTTCTTTGCACAAAAAAGAAAAGAAAAGAAAAAGCTTTACACATATTTTATGTTAAATAAAACAAAGCAAAAGAGCTGCTTGGAAAGTTTCTTTTCTTTCAAATTTAGTTACCACGAGTAGAGATGTTTGGACAACAAAGCCTTTTTTGCGCATGTGAAGCTCTTCCATCCACTGCTCTTAAATAAGACAACAGACAGAGAAGGATGGGTGGAGAAGGAAAGGAGAGGAGAAATGGAAGGGGGGGTGGAGGAGGAGATGGTGGCCGTTACTCCTGTCCGGTCATGCAGGGTGAGCGGGGTGCAGAGGGTGGGAACGTTGCACTGAAGGTGCTCCTCCTTTTCCTTCCTTCCATCCTTGATCCCCGTGAGCTGAAATGTGTCAAAACGAAGGGTGCAGTTTGGTTTCGAGCTAACCCAAAAGTCAACACTTTCTCTCTCTCCCCACCACTTCACAATTTAACCTCTAGACTAGACATGTCGTTCRCCAAGGCTGGGTTCAATTTACCATCACCGAGTCAGAAAACAGGACTTTGTGTTGGTACACTATGTTGTTATTGTCACACCAGAGTGGGGGTTTGGCTTGGACGTTACAACGGTGTTATGGTGTACTTCAGTACCGAAATATAATGACGATATTTAAAAATTACAACGGTATATACTGTATATTACTTTTTTTTTTAAAAATCGCTCTAATCGGAAAGATATGCATTCTCAAATTGTTTTTCAACTCAGGTCAAAAGTAGAGACTTCAGTTTAACCATACACCAGTTTAATTGTGTTGATTGGCCAAGTAACACTGGAGTTATGCTAATATATGCCGTAATCTCAGTCTACGTCCCTCAAGCCGAAACATAACCCCCCCGACCTCCTTTGTGACTGAAGCCCAAAGTCATTTGACAAGTGCCAAAAAATCTAAAAGAAAATAAAAAGACACAAAAATCTAACGAAGTTTGGCGGCGATAGCGAAAGCAAGTAACTCCAAATGGACCCGCCCCTTTCCGGTCCATTCTGTAATTCCGAGTACTAGCAGAGTCAAATGTTTCCGAATCACAGGTCAACTGGTAAAACAGAGGTTACCATAAAAGCGTCACTAGAACTGAGAAAATTCAACATGCTTATAAAGCAGRTTAATGAAAAATCTCGTTTAGGACCCTAAAGTAGCCTGGTTAAAACCAGACCCTTGTCCTTCACTTTACTTCGGACTGAGGGTCTGGAATCACTGCTACAGAGAAGTGATTCTTGCTGGAGTCGTGGCCTCTGCTGAAGTGTGTGTGTGCGTTGCTGTGAAGGAGACTAAGCTAAGAAGCTAACTGGAAATCGCGTGCGCTGTAAACAACCCTACTGAGAGGAGAGAAGTACCGAGCCGAACGAGACGACTGTAAATGAGAGCTGCTGCTTTGTCAGACAAGTTTAATTTTATTTGGAAGCCTTATCAACACGGACTGGCTTCATTCTCTTCCTCCACTGCCATCACTAAACTAACTAGCAGACACTGCGCAGAACATCAACGTCGTTCAAAACTCCGCCTTCTGTTCTCTGATTGGTCCAGGTAAAATAAACTACAAGCAGACACTGCGTAGAAAATCGACGTTCTGTTCTCTGATTGGCCCGGCTAAAAATCTGCCAGCGAAATCCATGTCTATGGGAGAAATGCCAGACGGAGCAGTGAAGGGAAACTAGAATTGAGCGGAACTGCGTAGGAAGGCAAGGGCCAGCCTAAAGGAAAATTTAACAAAAATCATTTCGAAACAAATACATCAGGTCTGTAAAACGGTGTAAATTTACTGGTTGAATTTGTTCAATTTTAATGGCTTTTCCATAGCAACCTCAGCGTTTTACTGATAAACGTGAGCTTGGCCTGGTTCACATATTTTAATTTAACAATTTTAACTACGAAAAGGTCTACCCTATACCGTGGTATTATCTAAAGATAATTTGTCTGTTTGAAAAAGGTCAGTACCGCCCAACCCTGTAACTCTGGAGTTCTTTCAAATAAACTCATAAAATGAGTATTTTTTTAAACCACTCAGTTTAATGTGATTGTGAATTTCACCCAACTTTAGCACAGACATAAACAATCATGCACATTTGTATAGAACTGATCCAAGAAGCTAATAGGACATTTATTAACATGTACACACATCAAAAACTAGTTGAGTCTGCCTTCAAAAATGACTAAAATACACACTTTAACTAACATTTGATGCAAGTTAAAAATGTACGACACACTAACACTGAGTTACACATAGAACTGCAACATACAAAAATAGATTTTGGTATTCAACAAATTTTTGAGACAGCAATGGATAGCATGTAAAGACATGAACATCAGTTTTGTTGTTTATGTGTATAAGTAATATCTACAGACTTCACACTCTTTATATTACCAACAAAGTACAAATTTAAACATATACAATCTCAACTTTTTATTTTATTATTATTATTTAATACCAAACTGCTTGTATCCGAGTTCATCTACAGTCACAATCAATGGCAAATTAGTTTCTTTTGGTCAGCGCCTTAATAGTTTTATTACAACTCACCGGATGAAAATGTAAATTACAAATAAACAGAAAATGTAACTAAAGTGGCTAAGTATAGATGCAACAATAACTTGGTAAAGTGAATTAGAATACAAAAAGGACAAAAACAGCCACAGATAAAGGCACTTATTGGACTCAATACCATCAACTAGTGAACTAGAAATGACCCTTGTTTTTCTTACAGTCATAAAAACTTTATGTTACTGCAAACAGTTCAAGTCAAGAAGATGGGATTATTTTATGCACACACCTGATAAAGTCCAACAGTGAGGTACAAATAGCTCCCTTGTGTTGATAAAACATCGTCAGTAACCTCTCACAAATCAGAGTCTGTTAACAGATCATTTAAAGCACACTTAGAGAGGAACGTAACATTTTCCAAGTGAAATGACAAAAATTACAACGCTGTCATTTCAGGTTTGCTCAATATAAATTTCAAATTCACGGGACAAGGTTTCACAGGGCATACAGATGCTAATATTTACATTTAAAGACAAAAGTACAAATTTTACATGGTTCAAAGGTTCAATTATTACTGAAACTGGTTTTGGCTAATGGCAAAAACTAAGCTGTTTACAGGGTAGGCAGCAGGAGACACACCTCAGCTCAGTCAAAGTCAACCAGACTCTTTCTCCCACCTATCAAATTTAAGACTAGTATTTGTCAAATTAAATTCGGTTTTCTTATAAAATAAGAATTAAACGTGTAGCCAAGTAAGCTAATGGGGATTAAAAGAGCCAGAGCCAAACCAGGGTCAAGCAGTTAATAAATCCATAAATTAGTCTGATGATAAAATATAGAGGTGTAAAAACGAACAGGGTCACAAGAGAACAGATTTAATGTGTACCAGACAGGTATTCAGACCCCTAAAATACCACAGCTGATTCGTGTTGGCTAAAACTGATGGCAAATCAGCTTCTTGAAATAGTCCCATTTTGTAATGGAATTGGAAGATTTTATTCAGGGACAACACTAGAAAATAAAATAAAATAAAAAAACAGTCTTATGGCAGTAGCTCACTGGGCTGCGATCGTTGGTGAACATCCACGAGTCTCAAAAATGTCTTTAATGTTAGAGGGTTTGTTTTCTTTACTCGAGTGAGGTAAGATTGATTGAATTTTAAATCAATACAGGCAGGAATTTTAAATGATTCCTAATTTAATTTCCATTAATTCTAAAGGGGTTGAGCTGCATGTTGACACTTTACACTGCCCATATGACAGAAATGATCAGAGGCTGCAGCACTAAATGTTCAGGTGAAATAACATCACTAATATTTTACAGTTATTTTACCAGGCAAATCCCACTGAGATCGCATATCTTTTTTGCAAGGGAGGCCTGGGCGTGAAGGCAACCTATTGCAAAAAATAAAAAATAAAAATAAAAAAATAAATAAAATAAAATAAAAGAACTAAGGGTACACCAGCCAACGTGGACCCTAAGCAAGTACGAAATGAAATAATGTGCAGGGACAATATCGCTCTGCAAAGTGTGTTCGCAAAAATTATTTTCAAAAAGTAGTTCCTCAAAATTCGGCCACATGGTTCGCTGTTTGCAAACACTTAGGATACAATATGTATGCAACTGACTATTTACTTTCTTGCAATTAACCAGTCACAGCCCAGTGACAAACTACCTTTAGGAAGACGGCTTTGCTAGAGGACACTGCTTAGAGTGAAAGTTTTTCTCAAAGACACTTGAAAGAAAAAACAAAAACCCACTACACTCATCACTGTGTGACAAATTTATGCAACCAAGTGAACGGTTTAATGTCAAATATCCAACATATTGTCATGCAAAAAAAAATAAAAATAAAAAAAATAAACAAGTACTTTATTCATTATATACTACTGTAACCAACTGCAGCTGGAGCTGTTTGACTCTGGTTTGGCATGATTGATTCTTTTTTAAAAGGGATATTATTCCCTAAATATTTACACCAGCAAGCAACCTCAAGAMACAGCATAGTAATACTTTAAGCTTTTTACATACATTGAACGTCTGCATAGTGATTTAAACACATAAAACAATGTAAAAGCATACTTGGACACAACAGGAATAACTGGATATTATATATAAATAGGCTGACATCTAACAGTGTTCCAGAAACAAGCTGGCATATTGAAGGCAAAAGCATGGACGGGTGGAAAATGGACATATTTGGGCATGAAGTTTTGCCAAATTCCACTTAATTCATTTATGCTGCATAAACATTTTGCCCACATATTTTAACTGTCATTAGACCTTGTGCCCATTGGACCTCTTGTCTAAGATTATCAAAAGGTATTAAATGCTCTGTGGTGAGCCAGATTGTTACCACTTAAAGGGTTTGTCTTAAATAAAATTAATGATACAGTTTTGGAAACCACTGCCTACAAGAGGTCCCCAATGGACATGAAGTCTTACTTTGCAGGACAAAATATTTAACTGAGGGTTTGTTGCTCACTTGAACTGACTGAAAACTAAAGATCAGCACAACTCTGCACTAAATCACATGAAACATCAACAAAATAGTTACCAAGTTACACTTTTTTGGGTTTTGCTTGATTTCAGCACCTCCAGTAGTTCAACCACCCCAGTAAATATTTTCCAGTATATATATAAAAAAATAAATAGAAAAAGTGAAAATATTACTTATGTGTGGGGAAAAAATAAAACATTTTTTTTCCTGCAAGTACAAATTTATGTGTATGGAAGTTCAATTAAAATCCTGTCAAATATTTGAGAACGGGTACAACTGCASAGAGATGCTGAAGGTTCAATTTGATTTGAAGAACTTGGCTTTACAGACATCATTCACACAACCGTCTCAGCTTCAGGTGCTATAAACATCAGCACAATGTAAAACACCATTTCAAAATGCAGCTTCATAAATGTACACAATATTCCTGTAAGCAATGCCCTACAAAGATTACAAAAAGGTATTTAAAATTCCGATTACACCAGAAATGCAGCAACAAAATCCAGAAAAGTAGCCTCGACATATCACAAGCAAATTTAAAAATACAACACACCAGCTAAGTGGTGTTTTGTTCATATTTGTGAGAAGGATAAGCAGATGAATTAGTCTGCAGTTTCACCTAGGGATGAAACGGTGTGAAAATTTATTGCAGTTATTGTAGTATTTAAAAAAAAAGCTGGTTGGAAATGCGCAACAATTACAAACTAAAGTTATTACACACATAGTGGACCAGGGTAAATGCATCAAAATTAGTATTATTAATAGGGATACACAATATAGTGGCATTTACATCAGTATCAGTCCAATAAGTAAAACTGGGCTGATATTAACGTCCGATATTGATTTCCCACATTTTAGCTTTGCGTTTCTGTTTTGGGAGGGGAAATGTTTGGTCGAGTGGTATTTGTTTGATCTTGATAGTGTTAGTGACGCTCTGCAGCCAGGAATAACTCAAGTAGAGAGCCATGTCGCGGTCTGTCGTTTTTTTTTAAATTTTTTTGTGTAACGTCAGGAATTATTGTTATCTGCCAAAACAGAAATAAAAATATCGGCTATCGATATTGGCTGACATTTTCATATCTGTGTCCCCAATTATTAATATTGTTTAAAGTACTCATTGCAAAGCATAATATTTTTGATGCAAAAAGTTACCCTACATAAGTAGCTTTATTCTAGAGGTTTTCCATATTTTCATATTGATATGCAATTCAGGAATGCAGGTCTGTACCTAATGTAAACAAAGTGGTTGTCTGTTTCCATAAACCATGGACCATAGAAGCCTGAGTTAGGGCTAGAGGCTATACTGAATCTAAAATAAATTTGACAACTTGTCATTTGTTAAATGAACAAATGTGATGAACTGCAGCAGCCTAAAACTGATTGTGAGATGACTGGAGAGGACACTGGGAGCTAATTCAATGACTGTTAATGTTAGGAGAGTATTTTACATTTAGAATTAAACTTGATTAAAGCTTTTGTTTTGAACAGTTTAGGAATTTCTGTTAAGTTCTGCTGTAATTWAAAAATTGTGATAACATTTCGTTAAGCACGCTAATCTTTACAAGTAATGGTGTTTTAATTTAAATGACAAAAAGTTTAACCCTTTCATCCCTAGGTCAACCATGACATAACATGAAAACAGCCTGAAAACACTCACTCAGTCTACAACACTTTAATAACCTTGAAGTTAATAAACGGTGGCCTAAACAACAAAATATTTACAAAATGTCTAATTATCTTTACGTTCTCAAACGAGGAATTTCATGTACAAAATGACCAATAAAAGATTAAAGACACCAATCAATTGTTAAACAGCTAAGCTGTAACGCTCCTCGGTTATATCACAATGTGAACACCAACAGCACCAGATTGTGTGCATCACACCAGTAAATTCATATTTCAACAAAGAATCATTGTTTTCATATTTTTCACTTCACCTCAATGTTTTACAATGAGGTTCAACTGTTCGTCAGCAAGATTACATTAGCAAAACATTCAATCTGACATGTCAATATAACCTGCATGCAAATATAACACTGTAAAAAACTTTGTAAAACCAAATATTGCAAGCTAGTCATGTTAAATCTACTTCCTTTATAACATTTTCTATAGTTATTACTAATTTCTAAAGCATTACTTTACTGTTTTTTATATTTACAAGTCAAAAGTTGTCTTTGTTTATTCTTACAATATATGACCCAAGTAAACACTGTGTTACCACTTTGACAACAAATTCCCGACGTTGACAACGGAAACCAACATTCAAAATTCAATTTACATCTAGTAAAGTACCAATTTACCAGTAAGTTTTATTATTTAAGTCATAAAATTGCTCAACATTTGATCAATAGGCCACATTAGCTGGTAAAACACAGAATTCTGACATTTTGCATAATAATAATAATAATAATAAAAAAAAATCCTAATTACATCAAAGAAACAACATCTTGGCAGATGTAGCACAGACAGTATATTAATATCTGTGTATTACTTTAAACACATTWAGAATATAGAAAAAATATAATTTACTTTTGTTTGCATGGTGAACGTTTTACTAGCCTCTGAAGCCTGATGAGCAAAATTAAGAAATACATTCAAACAGTAAATTTCATAAATGTTTTCTGATATTTACAAAGTCTCAAAGCTTTTCTTCTTTTGCCAAACATGAATAAATTAACTGTTATGAACATTTTGAAGATATGCACTGGTGTTTTGTGAAATATGAAGGAAAAGTGGACTTACCTTTTCTGAAAAAAGTCTTTTCTCTGCTCACTTATCCCTTTAGTTTCTCTAATATTTCTTTTTGCAATGGCTAGTTTAAGGTGAAAAATATGATATACTGTATATGGGATTTAAATTGGGGGTTGTAAAATTATAAAAAAAAAAAATGGAGGTAGCGAGCGATCAGAAAAGACTTTAAAGCCTTGTGTTTTCTTTTTTTTTCTGCCAATTTAATCCAGCAGGCCGAGTCTAAATCTGCAAATTTGTCAGAAATTTTGTTCAGAGAAACCAAACAGTTGTACCCACCTCCGGTTTCAGCTAACGGTGACGGTACTCCCTCTCCCGCTCTCTATCGCGGTCTCTGTCCCGGTCCCTCTCRCGGTGGCGGTCCCGCTCCCGGCTGCGCTCTCTGTAATAATCCTCGTGGCGGTCACGACTGCGAGACTTGTGTCGCCGGCTCTTCTCCCGAGAACGGCTGTGATCGCGTTCTCTGGAGCGCTCTCTTCTGGTCAAAAGAGAAATCCCTTAATCCTTGTTTTAGGTTTTACAAATATTTTTTGGGTCTAATTCCCATTTTGTTTTTCTTTTTATTTCCAGCTGTAAATAACTACAGAACCTCATTAGTCGTACCTTGACCCAGAACCATAGCTCTTTGACTCAATACCATGGAGACAATCCTGAAGGGAACTGATGAGGACTTTACAGCGGTCATCTGCTGACACTTTGGACTGCTTGATCAGGCTGATGGCTGTCACCAAAGTCTCTATAGCACTGCCATATTCAGCTAAAAAAGAAGACAATATCTTAATCACAAGAAAATATCTGATTTTCTATTTATCCCGAATTCATTTTTTCACAGAAGCAAACAGACGATAGTGTAACTTATAAAAGAACCAGCCAATACAAAGACATGTTTCTAACAGCTACAGGTACCTGCACTGGCATCAGACACAGCTCGAGAGATGGCGCTGGAGGAGATGGCTCTGTTCCTGTTCATAATCTCCTCAAACTCTGCCTCGCTTAGTGGGGTTCGCGAAGACTCCATGTCTCTGCAAAATCAACAAGATAAACCATCTTTATAACAAACACTAAACACAGTTTTTACAAATATTTAAAGGGATCCACGATTAGTTGTAATATTACTTTATTTAATAAAAAATATATTTTAACTGTAAAAATACTGTAGGCTGTTAGGTTTTATAATTTTTTAACGAAAAATTTCAAAATGTATTACAAGAACGGAGCCATTTTATTTACACACAAAGCATTCTGGGTAAATGATGACGTGGATAGGTCCTCAGTGTGAGCGAGCTATATCCACCCTGAAGGTTAATCTTGGACAATATCTGACGATCGGCTCTTTTTTTTAAAAGAAACCAGAGAGCGTTGACAGAGAGGAGGTAGAAATGACTCAACCTGTAACTGAAAATACAGATGGAGGACAACAGAGCTGCTTCATGGAAGAAGAACCTCAGCTGAGCTTGTTATTTTGTCGCGCTAGCACCGAGCTAATACATATAAGGCAATATAGAGCCAGAGCTAACGCTAACAAGCTAAGCTGAGATTCTTCCGTCATTAAACACATCTGTTTACCTCGTCGACATCATTTACCCAGAATGCTTTGCGTGCAAGCAAAATGGCTCCGTCCGTGTTAAAATATATTTTTAAAATTATAAAAACTAAACAGTCTACAGTATTTTTAGAGTCTTTATTTTACAGTTAAAATATATGTTTATCAAATAAAGTCTAATGTTACAACTAATCATGGATCCCTTTAARTTAGGAGTTCAAGTCCTCTTGATCCAAATGGTTTTGTTCCGTTTCTGTTGAACTACCTACCTGCCTCCAGGACCATAGTCCCTATCATATGGTGGCGGTCGTCCGTATGGGTCGTTTGGCCCTGGGGGGCCTCGTCCGTCGTTGGGGGGAATGTTGTTGCCAGGTGGGGGAAAGAAAGCTGGGTTCACATGAGGAGCAGGTGGTGGGCCACCAGGAGGAGGACCTTGCAAATGGGGTGGTGGAGCCAAAGCCAGCGGGGGCCCAATGGGACCTGGAGGGCGTGGAGGGAAGGGGCCTGGAGGAGGTGGGCCCTGTTGAGGGGGTGGTGGACCTGGAGGGGGGCAATAACCTGGAGGAGGTGGGCCTGGGGGGAGAGGTCCCAGCGGAGGCTGGCCAAACTGACCAGGGAAGAGGACAGGGGGAGGAGGTCTGTCGCCACGACTTGGAGGACCCGGCAGAGGAGGCGGCAGACCCTGGCCAGGTGGAGGACCTGGAGGGCCAGGGGGTCCAGGTGGACCTGGAGGAGGGCGTGGATGACCCTGAATCCCACCTTAAAGAACAAAAACATAAAACAGAACAGAATCACGACTCAAACTAAAATCATGGATTTTAAAATAAAGAGCATGCTACTAAAAAATCCTGACGACTTCTCCTACATGAGAACAAAATCTGGAAATTTTAATACAAAGTTAAAGACATCCTGCCAGGAACAAGCTCACACAATGTCTCATGCTAATCTCTAACTTCTGTGCATCTTCTACACATTAGAGTGCTGGCTGTGAGGATCCAAAAAAAAAAAAAAACGACACATGAAACAGATGAAAGCAGGTAAAAAATAATGGAGGAAATAAAAATCACAGGACAACAAATCACATGAGGGATTACAGCTAGAGGAAACAGTTTGTTACCCCAACGTAAGAAGTTTTAGTACACCACAGAGCTAAATTATTCCAACACTTAAGAGGGTGCACTGTTTTACAGTGCAAAGAGCCCTCAAAGTTATTCTGAAATCAAAGATTGAAGCAAATAGGCTGTTAGATCACAGATTTAAACTATTAATAATGATGCAAACTAAGCAKTGTTACTAGTGATTATTTAGATCTCTCTAAGTTAAACAGTCAGGATGTTAAACATTTCTTTTAAAATCTGAAACATCTTTAAATGTTTTAAACAAGGCCTCAATATTTGACAAATAACATGCCTGTTCACAGAGCAGCTGGTAAACAAAKAGCAAACCAAACATTCATAGAGACACAGATCCATTTCCAATAAACATCTGCAGCTTGAGAATTAAAACAAAACAAAAAGAGATAAATCTGTCAAATCAATCAGATCAATCGAGGTGTGTCACCTCTGCTATGCCAGCTCCCGTCCCTGCCCCCTGGTGGGAAAGGATTGAAACTCATTTCCATCAGAGGGCCATCTTGGTGCCTAACCAGATCTGGTCTCATCCCAGAGCCTAACGAGGAGGGAAAAAAAAAAGGCAAACCAATCACAACTTTTTTTCTTTCATGAACTTCTGACTTCCAACTAAAAACCTAAACAACCCCGTGGGGCAGGGCAACAGCTACTAAGCAAAAGAATTAACGTAAATGAAAAAAAAAGAAAAAAAAAAGAAGAAAAAAAAGGAGAGAGAACCGAGGGCAAAAAAAAAAAAAAAAGCTGGCAACTCAGTTTTCTCCTACTGCCCGCATTAAGTAGCTAATAAGACTTAAAGGGACTAGAAAGTCGACAGCTTGTCAAGTGAAGCTTTAAAGCAAACAGCTTGTCCAAGGAAATGTGCTGAAAGCTGCCTGCAAGCAAAATACTGCAGCCACAGAAGTTTATTTGTTTGGATAAAGTGAAATGGAAAGGACAAAAACCAATTCTACATGAAAAATAGATCATGCAAAAACAATAATGCAGACTGTAAAAAAGGTAGCTAAAACTATATACTCTCTAAGCGTGGCTTTGGTTCCATGCAGGTGTGAGTAGTACTAAAGTAGTACTAAAGTCCATGCTTGTTGGGCAGAACTGCTAAACATAAAAGCTTATTTTAAAGCAAACTTTTAAAGGCACATTCAACTTTTTTTTAAAACCACTCCAGAGATGTTGTGGAAAAATAAACTATAATTACCAGTTTAGAAAATAAGAATGGAATAATGTGTTCATATTCACAAGCTTCTAATGCAGATCATGTCAAATTGTTTACATTAAATATTAAGCACCAAATAATAACATAATCATAAACAATCATAAAACTCAGCCTGTCTACTGAACCAAGGCCATCACAATCCAACGAGGTCAAACTACTTATTATCTTATGAGTTTAATCGACTATAAAATTACTTAAATGTCTAACTTAGATTATATTACAATGATAGTCTAATGCAGGGGTGTACAATCCTGGTCTTCTGGGATCACTATCCTGCAGGTTTCAGAGGTTTCTGCTCCAACACACCCGATTTAAAGGAATAAGTGATTACCAGGCTTCTGCAGAACTTGAAGAGGTAATTCAGTCACTTAATCAGGTGTGCAGGGGCAGGGAAACCTCTAAAACGTGCACATTTCCTCTTTATTTTGGATGTGAAACTGACTAAACTACTTAATGTTCAGTAACTTTCGACGAACAATCAGTACAAATCCTGCGATCAAACTAACCCGGGAAGTGTGGTGGTCCTCCAGGCCCCCCAGGACCGGGGAAACGGTCTCCTCCGGGACCGGGTGGTCCGGGAAACCTTCCTTTGCCTCGACTGCCCATGGGGAATCCACTACGGGAGCCTGCTCCGGGAGGTCCAGCCTTACCTTCCCCAGACATCTGTCCTGACTGGTTACCTGTAAATAAAATAACGCACAATAAAACCACCTTTTCCATTTAAATTAAAAGTAGATGTGTGTGCATATTCACCAGCAGTGTGGCATGGATCAATAAATACTGGCTGAAAAATAATGAACACTTGAAATAATTTTAAAAAAGCATATTGAAGACAAGAGTGCACTTGCCCCTCTTACTTTTACGTGACTGCATCTCAAACTGACTGAGCGACTGTTTATTGCATGGTGTAACAATAGGATTCTGTCCGTGGAGCTCCCTTTTGGACAACAGATCCATTAGCTTTCTGGACGATGATTCTGAACCCACACACACAAGAGCAAACCTGGAGGACACAAGCAGACAACAGAGAATTACACTTACCCACAAACATAACAATCTCAGCCCATCAGAACCAAACCTGTGAATGCATTAGATTAAATCCATCACACTAAAGCTACGTTTGAATAATTATATTTGACATCAGCAGTTGGATATATAGGAATATCTCTACCTAATCATTTGATTTACCCAACTGTGTGACAAACAGATAACGACCTCACCCTTTAGACTGGCCGTTGGCCCTGTTTTCAAAGAACTTTATCTCCAGCACATCTGTGATGCCTATCGAACGGATGGCTTCTGTCAGGTCCTCATCTGTTGTCCACTGTGAGAGACAAGGCATCACTATCAGTCATCAGCAGTCACTTCTCTAAGCTGTTAAATTGTTTAAAACTTTCAGATTCCCTAAACGGCTTTTTCACGAGGATGTCCTGATGTCTTTAAAGGGGACCTATTATGCAAAATTCACTTTTTAAACGTTTTTTTTACTTAACTTTAGGTATGTACTTCTAAAAAAAAAGTCCTAGGACCAAAAAAAATGCACCCAGGGGCATATGTACTGTAAGTAAATGTATTTTTAATTTGTATCAACGATACTTCTGTCATTTTGTGATGTCACAAGCCGTACAACAACCCACCGGAACCTGCGTTCAGCCCCTTACCTAGCAACACCCGGGTGAGGCTCCACCTCCTCAGTATAAAAAACTGTCACGGTTGTTGTTGTGCAATGCGCAGCTCATTTCACA